AATAAAATGTGTATTCCTTTTCATATTTGATAAAAGTATAAAAATAATATTATGATACCTTAAAAGAATAAGCTATGAATTATGTAGGTATTATTGTAATGTTTCATTTATATTAATATTCTAAAATATATTTAGAATACAATATTGAAAAGGTTTAAAATTATTTGATAACGTTTATTGAATGTTTTTTGGGAACAATCATTGAATGTTATTTGGTAACAATCRATGGATGTTATTTGTAACGTGCTTGGAATATTACCAGATTACTTGTATAGAATGATATACAGTAATATGCATGGAACATTGGGATAAAGTATTGTATTCATATTACGAATGAAGTTACTTTCTYGGGACATAAGCAGTTCCATGCACATTACAATCACACAAATGWAACTTAAAGTGTAACATTACAAGTTATGAATTAATATTGTAAAAACATCGCAAAAATATTCCATTGCACAGTGGACAGTATACGATAGTTATCCGATAAAAGCGTGGAAAACTGGAAAAGGTTTAGTGGCCGGAGGAAACTAAAACTCGGCAGAGGTAGTAAAATAATGTCGATGATATTAATATTATATGTTTGGTTTAACCGTTCGCGCGTCGATTTTACGGTTGTCAAAATGTCAACCATACAAAGTGCTGCCGTGTCCATAATATGACGAAAACGACAACACGTGCGCCAACAAATAGATGGAACGACACCACAAAATTGCTCGAAAACGTGCTACGGAGATCAAAAACTCGATTTCAACAATGATCACAGATACTGATTTGACAAAATAAATTGAACGACGTGTTTAATCGATTGAATTATGATTGTATAGCCAGTACCGTAGCTAGAACTAGATGGGCCGCGGTGCAAATTTAATCTGTGGCCCCTTTAAATAGGCGTACATTGGGTGTGAATGTAGGGAGTGCTGATATAATCGATGGTACACAGATCCGTGGGGGCTTAGTCCCCACAGTCCGTAACCCCACTGCAATAAACTGCATTGCAATAATTTTAAATTTTTACTCATTCATATTTTTACTTTTAAATTATAATAAAAATATAATTAATTAAAATTTTAATTATTTTGTCTTCAATATTTTGTATAGACAAATGAATAACTAATAATAAAGTTGAAATTGTATAAATTTGAATGTAATCGCAACCCTTTATTAGTCCCTAAAACATCCAAATTTTTGTACTACACACATAGTCCCAAATCAGTCAAATCTAAATTACCTATACATACCTAGTACCTATCAATTAATGATAATATGTATTTACAATAAATAATTTTATTTAAATAAAGTAGTACCTACCTCAAATAAACAAATTTAAAGGTTCTTTAAAAAAAAAATATTTGTGAAATGGAATTTTTGTTGAAAAAAAATTTGTTATTTCTTATTTTGTATATAAACCATTTTAAGTGTACAAAATGCATAATATCAATAATACATAATATATAATAATACATAATATCAGTAAATAAATAAAAATAAATTTAAATTAAGTACCTATATATTAAGTATGTAAATTATAGTTTTTTTTTTTTTATTCTTTGTGGTTGAAGAACTTTCTTATATCCTGAATTAATATTGTTATATTAAAATTTTATAGAATATTATTATTATTATAAAGGTTATTATTATAACACACTTTTAAATTTTGTACTACACACTGCATTTTTCGTACTACACAAAGTGTGTCGTACTACACACAATTTGAGGGACTGCCCTTTATTTATTTAAACTATTAACCAACTATACTGTGCATCATATATTATGTATTCAAAATATTTAAAAATAATTATATTGTTACATGTTATTATATGGGAACTGGGAGTGCTAATTTGAAGCCTGTGGGAGATGCTAAATTATGCTAAAATAACAAAGTACAAATGGCGTTATAATTATATTTTGATCTTATTAAAAAAAAATGTTCTTAGTATAGATTCTTAATTCTTATATCATTTTATTTAAGTATAATGGGTCTCATATTAGAAATTGCAACGTGGGGCTCCGGTGCAATGGACCGCCCGCACCGCGTTTCTACGGCACTGTGTATATATAGCACGTGACTATACTATTACCTGACATACTGCAGCATCCAAAAGGACGTTATGACTTACGGACCAATTGAAGCATCGTTCGATGTGTACGACGATTTCCTCAGTTACAAGTCAGGTAAATGATAAGCACCATCGATTTAATGTTTTTTTTATATGATGATCATGATATTATATTTCTAACTGAAATTTCATGCGTTTCAAAGGTTAGGTTTACGCGAAAACGGAAAATGTTACATACTTGGGAGGATATGCCGTTAAGTTGATCGGTCGGGATGAGGAATCCGGAGTGCCGTATTGGTTGATGGTCAACTCGTGAAACGAAGATTGGGGTGACAACGGTCTTTTCAAAATTCGACGAGGCACAAACGAATATCGTGTCGACAATTCGACAACCACCCGTGTTCCTGCATTTTGTTTACTAATCTTGTTGTTTTAGTTTATTTTAAATAAAATATATCACGGTATCTCTTATGTATAAATTAAATATTTTTTATTTATTTTAACAGTTTCGTTCTAATTTTGACATGTTTTATGGACGTTTAAATTTTTTTATTCAATCATTAAACTCTCCGCTATAAGAATCTAAAATAAACCTGCACAAATTACAAAGCTGGAAACAAAAAAAGAAGGTGTAGATCGGGGCAAACCAATTAAAAATGTATAAAAGGCTATATACGGGTCACCAAAAGTAAAAAAATTATTTATATTCATGTATTTTATTTTATTTTATAATAAACACATATATACTAATACACATGTTGTAACATTAGTATGCGTTGCAGATTAATATATTAATATATAATTGTAATTATTATGTTACAGAGATATATTTAGAATTTGTAATTTAGATAATATAAATTTCTCCTTGCACAAGTTTGATACGATTATTTGTTATAATACATTATAAGGACTTTTTTTAAATTCATCGCACTTATTGTAAACACTTCAAAACTATGTTATACGTGCAATACATATTATAACACGTKTATTCTTGGGGAGGGGATAAAAAACTTAATAACAATAAATTAAAAAAAAAATATGATAAAATAGTTTCGCTTTAAAACAGCTGTTTAGGCAATGTCTGCGATTTCAAATAGTATAATCTATCTAAAAGCGTGGCAAACTTTAACAGGTGTGCGCGACCATGGTGCAAAAACAAGAATATTGATGATAATCTAATTAGTTGGAAAGTGAGGTCTATTTGTCCACAACCTTGAGATGTTCCATTGAATAATAAATTATTATTATTATTGTCGAACGGTCAGCGTTGGTATACAAAACAAGTTATGCTCATGATATGAGATTCGACGTCATTGCTAATACAGCTCGCAAATTCTATCGCCAGTTAACCATCTATTCAGTATACCTATCAACCTATCCCAATCCCACGCGCGGTCTCAACACTCGAGATGGACTTCAAGTTTATACTATTTTTTATTCAAATGACTGCAATCGCTAAAGCACACCTGATCAGAATAAAAAACAACTGCTCGTTTACTGTATGGCCCGGCATACAAGGCGACCAGGAACACGAACATCTCCTAAACGGCGGATTTTCGTTGGACGGTTTCAAGACGCATACGTTTAACACGCCTAGAAATTGGACGGGCAGGATTTGGGGTAGGACAAATTGCGACAGTCAAGGAAAATGTGAAACGGGTGATTGCGGTAAGTCTAAATAATGTGGTCGATTTGTAATAGACTTGTTGCGATATGTTTTACCTTTACAATATAATTATTCGAAAAACGGTGCCTATATTATGTAGTATAAAATTATTTATTTTGTTCGATGAGGACCAAAAACGCATTATTCACGATTTAGTGCCTTAGTAATGGGATAAAAATGCAAAAATAAACTGTATTACCTGATATAAATATTGTATACCCGTTACACTATAAGTTTCATTTTTAAATTATTAACTATTTAATTAAACTATTAATTTTAATTAAGTATAATATGGTATTTTCATAATTCAAGTGAACCCAAGTAAACTCCAATATATAAACATGAAATTCGTATACAGAAAAAAAAATGTCTATACTGGACTATACTTAAAAACCATGGGCTTTAAATTTCAAATTGAATTTTAAGACGCTTATAATATTATACCAATAAATATCTACCACTTTGTTTAACCTAACCTAACTCATTTTACATCAATCACTAAAAGCTTAATATTAATAACTGTTTATGACTTTGATTAAATACACTTTACTTTTGTGAAATTTATTTGAAGTTTGTTAAAAAGTTATTATTTTTGGGCTTTTGGTTGCATTTACGTCATATTTTGCACTTATGGCCTACAATCCTTGATCGGGTTAGGTTCTTACTCATTATAATAAAATTAAATGATATTTTAGGGCGGATAAGCACTTGGTATTAATTATATTCAAATCATAACCGCGTTCTCATTTATTTCTGCTCGCAATTGGATCATGTAAAAAAAAAGTTACTACCATCCGTCGCAAGCAGATTTCTTGTTGCCAATCTGAAGTTTATTAATCCCCGTGAAAAATCGGATAATAGATAGTTAGGTTCAAAAATATTGGTGAAATTAATATAATTTTGTCCATGCATATGCATATCAATAAAAGGCAACTGTTTGCGTATGTATGTGTAAGCGATCTCCAATTAAACCTATTGCATTAATTTAATTTGAACATTTTATCATTTTTAACAGGAAACATGAACTTTCTTGTACATAATCTTGTTTAAATTATTTCAAAAACAATAATAATAATAATTTGTTTTAAATCAAGTACCTATCTGCCTTACATCTTCATTAAGAGGTTAGATTTATTAGAATTATTTTTAAATCGTATTATGAACTGACAACCAAATAAATAACTTAACATATTTTATACATTTATTTTATTATTATCTTTAAAAAAAATTTCTGATGTGTAGTTTTACGAATTTTACTGTATAATACTATAATATGTCGCATTGTAATATTTAAAGTGCATTAAAAATCTGTGTTCTAACCATCGTTATTACTAATAGCCGCGAACGATGCCTGTTTTCCTTCAGTATATGATGCTAACGATGATATACCTGTTTCGCGCGTACTACTTTTCCACGTATTATACAAGCTATATTATGTTTATTTCGATTTCCTACGGCGCTAACGGTATTGCATTGCCAATAATAATATAAAATATTTAATAAATCTTATATTTAAATTTCTGATGTAAAATATATATACAGCTATGTGCTGTCATACAGGTATACTTTCCCCCAACTGGATCTGATTAACTTGAGTAGTGGTTACCAAAATTATATTTTTGGAATTTAGAAGATTTTTTGAAACTAGTATCTAAAAAATTCGACCACAAAATCCATTTGAATTGTAAAATCAACACAATATATTTAATTTTGAACACAACAAAGCTGGGGCATTTGCCCGCCCTGGCTTTTTCAAAATTTTTTTTTTTATTGTATACGAGTATAATAAAAAAGGTTATTGTTTTGAAACACCTAGTAAAATTATAATATTTATCCTCAAATCCTAACATTGCCCCCCCCCCCTAGAAAAATTTCTGCGGGCGCATATGCTCATTTAGGTATTAGTGTTTTTGTTTCCTTTTTTATTCGTATAAAGGTTTTATATTATGGGAAGAACAAGTGTTTTGTATTTTAATGTTGGAGTCTATATTACTCTATATATGCTAGGTAGACACAAACATAGTACAAACATTGACCTTTTGTGTAAAATTAAATAACAAACAACAATAATTTACCTATTATTATTTTATAGATTGCCTGAGATTGGTTAGGTTACTGATTTTTACATTTCTTTTTACCTGAAGGCTTCGGCCGCTAAGATTTTTATTTCACAGGATGCAGATAGCTTCATCAGTGTAAATGCCATCATATTGCTAAAAAAAAATCCTTATTCTATGTATGATATTTATATCGATTATTTCATTGCGATACGATTTGATGATTCAGGGAAAAAGATCCACTGTAGCGGGGCCGGGGTTGTGCCGCCCGCAACTGTTGCTGAGATGAAGTTCACCAGGTCCGACGGATTGGACTTCTACCGCGTGTCGATATTGGAAGGCTACAACCTGCCGATCAGGATTGTACCAACAAGGTATTTCACTTACACGAAAAAAGGCAAGTACGATTGCAAACCGGCCGACTGTGTGCCCGACCTGAACAGCGCGTGCCCGTCCGAGCTGGCCGTCAGGGCGGCTGATGGCTCTGGGGTGGTGGCGTGCCATAGTGCCTGTTCGCATTTCAACACAGACGCTTACTGCTGCCTTGGTGCCTACAACACCCAGTCGACTTGTAAAATCAGCTCGTGGCCCCAAAACTATAGTCCGGCATTCTTTAAGAACGCATGTCCGAACGCCCACGGTCACGCGTTCGACGCCTCGACCAGCTCGTTTACGTGTCGTGGTAATGCGATAACAAAGTACGACATCATATTTTGCCCATATTAAACCCGTTCGGATGGGTTTTGAGTTGGTGATTTATAACGATCTTTAAAAATTATTATATATACATGAATAAATCTATGTAATATATAAAAATAAAGGTATTTAAAAATGTATATAAAATGATATTCCCAAAAACAGTGATTTTCATATGTGTGATATTTTTAGAGCGTAATTTATTTGTTTACTATTTGAAATAATAATAAATCTATCAGTATGAATCTATCCATCTATCTAATAAATATAAGGTATATAATAAATATAAAATATGATAATATGAATAATAATAATATATTGTTTTAAATAATCCGCGCAATGTGTTACCCGGCGTATAGTGTAGGCAAAATAGGTACGTGTGGTGAAACGAAGACAGAGCGCTTAGAATGCTTAGATGGTCTGGGCTTCAACTTGGAATCCATATTAATAAAACTCTGAATGAACTATTTTTTTAATTTCAATTATTGATTTTAAATTAGGAATTTATTAAAATTCAAGCCCTTTTACTACTTAGTTATTTAAACAAAATTAAAAATAAACATGATTATAAAATGAATAAAATAACTTTAATTCTTCATAAACAATCTTCTCATCAAGATAATGTATGGAACATGATTATATATTAGAATTTAGACAATTTAGTGTAAATCCAAAGTATCTACAGTTATTAGTTTTGGTTACACCAAAAATGTTAAAACTTATAAATCGTTAATTTTTTTTCTAAATTAATTTTTTATTTAATAACTTGAACTACGGGTAATTAAAATATGTGTATAACAATTTTATATGCGTAAGAATAAAAGATATCATTGTAGTATATATTATTAGCATTATTTGAATTGAAATTAACATGGTTAAAAACAAATTCTTAACTTGATTTTTTTTTTCAAACCATCAGCAATGTAGAAAATTATTATTATTTGTTTATTATCATTAGTTACCATGATTTTTCATCGGATAATCAGTTACTTAACATATACTTAATGTTATTCAATTTGCCCGGAGTCCCCCCCCCACCCGACTGGATACGGACAGTTTTAACAGTGACAACTTAATAATATAGTGATGAAATTGTAAAATAAATTAAAAACTATAATAGCAATGGCTGGTCAAGATTTGCATAAGTGATACATTTGAAAGTTGAAAGTTATGATGTACAATTTGAAATACCATAAATACTTTCAAAAAATCCAACTTTGTTTGCTATTGCATAAAAGACTGAAGACTATTTCATTTCAAAAACATAAATACCCTATATTGGCAAATATGTCTGAAGATCTGAAATATTATTATGTTAAGCTTATGTGCATTCATGGAGGTGTTCATAAGTAAAAAAAAAAGATTTGTCAAGATCAACGAAATACCTCGTAAGTATTTAAAATATTTTAGATATTAACATTGATAAGTTATAGAATATAGTTTCGATTATGAAATATTAAAATATGGTTATAACTTTTACAATAATAAAAATATACAATTTAATGGCAATAAGAAATTGAGAATTTTGAATAAAAATGATTATAAAATTTGTGTAGTTATAATGATTAATGAGTAAAATGTAAATGTAATAACTAATAAGTAATGTGAGAATCAAGCCCTCAGCCCTCCCCCTGGCTACGCCACTGATACTATAATATATATATATATACTATAATATATATATATATATATATATATATATATATATATATATATTATATACCTATACGCGGCTACGCTTCAATTATTCAATAAACATTTGTAACACAGTCTTGTTTTTCTTCCCATTATTTCCATTACTGCATTACATACTTACGTCCTAATTAATATAGTTTTTATAATTTCAGCTTGTACTTTTGGCTTGGTTAAATTTAAATATAACATTAACTTACAACTTAACAGACTCTGACGACCGTGAGGCACGACGTCGTGCTTAGCACTTTAGCAGTTAACATCAAACAAAAGGCAAAGTTTAATATTTACGCGGGACTTGACAAAATCTAACCTAACTGATAAGAGTGATAATATGATATGTGCAATACGATGTACGGGTCGTGAGATCCAGACTAGACACAGTGTATAAAATAATACAAAATATATTTTCAAATGGAAAATATTTTTTTGGATGAGTGTGCCATTGTGCCATATCTTTAGATAACGAATTACAAGTTTTTTCATCAAATTTAGTATATTAATATTTTTATTAATTATATATTGTTGAACACTCAAGAAATAAACAACGTTTAATTTTTATCATTCAAAAATAAATATTATTTTTACTTTTCATTAATTAAACTCTACAGTTAATTTTATTGAAAAATTATTATTTTGGTATTTTTTTTATCAAATTTCCTTTGATAAGCGAATTGCAGTCACGGACTACGATAATATACTTATCTAGTATATCTTAGTCCGTGATTGCAGTGATAGTTATACTGATAAAGTGATAACAAGCGCTGTTTGGAGGTTTCGACGCTGGTCGGGCTGGTGCGCTGGTCTCAAAATTCATGGAATTATGATTCTCCTTTCTCCATAAGTATTAAAACTAAAGTAATTAAACTATTAAGTATAATAACAYGAAGGTAAATGTGAGTGTAAATATTAAACAGACTATTCAGAATATTCATTATTTGCATAATTTATTACTGTTAATCAGTGTTGAATGCTGACTGATGTATAGGCATGTTCATGTATCATAATCTATTATAGCTTTATTTAATTTATAATTAATGAATGATTGGATGATACTTTAATTTGTATTCATTTATAAATAATACTTTAATTTAATATGTTATTCAATATTATTTTAATTGAAACTTGACTACCTTACTCTGAAATCAATTCTTCTTTCTTTTTCAAAACATTTTTCCGTCACTTTATTTTAAAAATCAGGGCTCACTCTTAAGTCTTCTAATATTTTTTTCTCAATCGATAATATTGCAAGAGAAGATAGTCTACCTTGACCTTGAGTAGACCTACAATTTATTTTTATCCTTTTGAGGGCAGAAAACGTTCTTTCTGCTGTAGCTGTTGTACTTGGAATAGTTGCAATTAATTTAGCTAGTTTATATACTTCTTTCAGACCTAAGTCTAGTTTATTTTAATTCATAAATTTGATTATTTTAGTTTGCTGCATTTATTCAAGCTACCAACTGTGCAACATGCAGATTCACAATTTCTACTTTTGGACGCTGCCTGTTAAGTATTGAACATGCACATTCGGATCACTGATTTAGATTTTGTAGCATCAGGTGTTATTTCCTTTTGACTTTAATATTAAAAACATATTTTTTATGCAGTCTTAAATAAAATAACTTAATTGATAACATGAGTATAACGAAACTGGTTCTTCAGAAAATAATTATCCTAGTATTTGCTTTCAAAGTTTAACTATACCTTTTATCGTAATAACTAGTGCTTGGTCAGGAAAAAGATTAGTTTTCATGTTGACAAATCTACCATCTATCTTTTTCATTTTGAGAATTACCTGTAAGAATTTAATTTTTTTTATGATATTTCATCCATTACAATGTATATCAACTTCTTACTTGGTGGACTATCCTTTAAACTTAATTTTTAAGTTTTTAACATGTCTAAAACATGAGTTTAGCTCACAAGAAACATAGGTATTGAATGTTGTTAATTTTTTAGTGATTTAACTTCTGTGCTTTTGCACAAAGTGCTTAGGGAACCATACAATATATTGTGGGTGCAAATGATTTTTGATATACCTACAACCATAATTTGTTAATGTTTGTTGGTTTTAACTTGTTTTTCATAACCAAATTATCGTTAAATGTAGTTTTAAATACAGTTTAATTTTAATTTGTTTTATAATTTGTTTCTATTTTTTTTTTTTTTTAATGTCTGTAGGTATTATTATATACCGGGTGATTCTTTTATCATTGAACACTCATTATTTCAAAAATTACTAATGTTTTTGAAAATATTTTTTTACATGGTTTCAAGTTGTTTAAAACCCAACGTTTTTATTAAAAAAATGTATTTTAAAATATTTTTTATCCCTATCATTTTTTAAGTTGTTACTTTTTTGAATGACAACATAGAGTTTTAATTTCATATTTCAAAGCAGAATATTTTTCTAAGTATTTTGATTCATAAAAATCGAATTTAGGACGAGTAGTTTATGAGTTATAAGTATTTAAAGTTTAGATTGCCAGAATGGAGTAGTACGGGGTTACCCCGCAAAATGTTTGTCCAGTACTCCGCTTGTCTAAACTTTAAATACTTATAACTCATAAACTACTCATCCTTAATTCGATTTTTATGAATCAAAATACTTAAAAAAATATTCTCCTTTGGAACATGAAATTAAAACTTTATGTTGTCATTCAAAAAAGTAAAAACTTAAAAAATGAAAAGGATAAAAAATATAATTTTTTAATAAAACGTTTGTTATTTAACAACTTGAAACTATGTAAAAAAATATTTTGAAAAAAGTCAATACTTTTTTAAATAAGTGTTCAATGATAAAAGAATCACCCGGTATAGTAATTTACTATAGTATCTATTGATTATCCCCATTTACAGCACCTAAAAATTAAAAGTTAAATAAGCCAAACAATAAAAGTGATTTATTAAAATATTGTTAAAACTGTTAAATCACTACAAATGTATTCAAAATAATTTCAATTTTCAATTTAATCTGTTATTTCTTAACATTTTGAATGTTTATATAGAATCCATTTAACCATTTGTGTCAGGTTTAGCTCTTATATAATACATATAGGTGATATACATGCACAATTTTCAAACATATTATACAAGTTAATCATTAATTATTACATTCTCATTATAATTGTTTCTCAATTTAAACTCTGCTTTAGGCACAGGACACCATAGTGAAGCCGAATACGCTCCTTCAAGAGGTAGTTTTCCGCTGTATTTAACTATGTTGATTGGGTTAGTGGATTGTTAAATTGACATTTTAGTAAATCTTAAGAATATACTTTTTTTTACTATTTTAATAGATTTTATATACTTTATGGGTGATTGTAGTAATTACATTTTACACTTTGTCCCATCAAATGTAGTTGCCATTAATCATAAAAATACAAATAATTATGTAGAATATAGATATTAAATATAAGATAATATATCATGTAGGACATTATTGAATATTTGTTTATTACAATTTACATATGTTCAGTATTTTTTTCAATAATGAACTCGAAATA